CATCTTAAAAGCACGCATAATATAAGTAGCTAAAAGACAAATTGCGCGTTAGAAAAATCTTTTTGGAAGGGGATTGATGAAATATATTGAAGTTTTATGTTATGACGGAGGCAAATTCTTGAGATAAAGGGTTAATATCCCCCCCCCCCCAAAAAAAAAAAAATCTATAAAACTTGCAATTATCTCTATTTATTTTTATAAAAAAAAAATCACATTGACAACCTTGCTCCTGGTTTCAAGAAGTCTACTTTCATGCATCAGTTGAACCATGTTACTAATATGAGTTTACCTTTGCATTTGGAAAAAGTGCGGGAATTTGTAGATAAATCGGTTATTAGGATAGAACATGGACTGTGGAAGCAAAGCTTAGGGAATGTGCTCTTCACTGGAATTATCTCTTGGTGAATGATTATAGTAATCATACCAGATTATAATCGACGTTCCTTATGGTGCGAGATCTAGTTTATCTTAAGGTAGTCTTTCTCTAAAATGTTAATATCCACCCAGTTAATTGCAGACTGAATCTTTTAACCTTATGTTTTATTCAATAATAGTTTTATTTGTGCTTAATACAGAGAATGACATCTACTCGGATAAACATTTTAAAAAAGTTCAAGGTTTCCCAAATACAGAACCATCGACGGAAAACAAATCCAAACTCCCAAGAAAATATATTTATTACCAAAACTTTAAGTAGTACACTTAAAGGGCAACGTGTGGATAACGTTCACGCGTAGACCAGTGACCGACTCAGTGGGCTGACTGAGCAAGTTCATTTGTGACCAACTTTTTGAGTCATTTTAAATATCATAGGGTCAGATAAAACGAAAGATTGGATAGAGTTATCTTATTTCGGAGCAACGGTGCTTCGGTAAGTATGACGCTCACTACCCAGGAGGACCCGGGATTTTCTAGCTTGGTTTCCTCTTGTCAATGTGTGAGGTAAGGAAAACGTGGAGTTGGTCTGATGGGACGAAAGCCCGTATATACCATTGTCATTACGTTCAAGGACCCCTCATCGTAGGAAATATAAACATGAGTCGGTCGTAGCGTCGCTGACGGTCAAAATCCTCCTATGGGCACATTATAGCATGCTCGTCTAAAATATATCGGTAGGTGCAAAAGAAGTAAACCCCATTTCATGTCTTCTCACCTCGGAAATAGTAGCAGGTAAACGCAACGACTTAAAAATGATTCCAACAAATCCGCTGCCTATATGAAATTGTTTATGAATATAAGGATGCATGAATGAATGAATCCATGGAATGGGGTTTAACGTCCCAATTTTCTGCACTAACTGGACTAATGCAGACGGACATACAGTGTGCTATGAGGGAAATTTTGTTCGGACAGCAACTGAATTCCAACAGCCCGGGGTTCTTTTACGTATACGTCAACATGTACACGGGATCTCTGGGTTCCGAACTAATAGACGCCTCATATGGCTTGAGCCACTGACAAGGGGAAACTACGCTGGAAAATCCTGGGGAACTTTCTCGGACCAACACCGGATTGGAACGCCGGACCTCCTGGTTAGTGAACTAGCGCCCTACTCACTAAACCACCGTGGTTTTCATGAATATATTAGGAAATAAGACAAAAGGAATATGAATCATGATAAAGACGTAATTTCGTTTACTGTATTATCATGTCTGGAGATAATTCCATATTCAATCTTAATAATTCTTTTATACGTCTGTCTATATCTAGAGATAAAACGACCTTAATACCGTAAGATAAGATAGAAGACGACCTTAATAAAATATACAGCATTCTGCGTTAGCATATACTGGAGGATAGACGCCATTGTTTTGCTTGCGTCCGTTATATCATATGAATTATTTGTGAAATGGAGTCGGGTTTAAAGATATGATCGGGGCTATAGAACAGGAAGTGAAGTAAACATAAAAAAGGGTCCTAGTGTTCAGTTTTATCTGACGTTATTGATTGTTAAATTTGATACATTGGGGGATAGGGGGGTTGGATGGCCGAATGGTTAGCACGTGCGTGCTGTATCACAAAGCCTGTCATTGAGTCAACTGGCGTGGTTTCGAATCCCCGGTTGTGCGTGGCAAGGAGTAGGGTCGCCTGTCCTACCTCGTGGGTTTTCTCCGGGTCCTCCGGTTTCCCCCCACTGCTAAAGACCCCTACGCGCAAGCGAATTATTGAAATAAAATTAAAAAACCATATGTTAGTCCCAAAATGACCTACTTTGTGTCGAGTGAACGTTAAACCCCATTTCTCTCTCTCTCTCACATTGGGGGATACATTGGGTTCAATACCCGGTTTGGCTCGGTCAATTGCGTTTGGGTTTAGAGTGAAGTTACGTATCTTTCTGTTTCCCTGTGTTCATTCTGCTTTAAAACAAGACACGCCAAAACGGACACCAAGTCACCGCGACACCGGGTCATTCGGAGGCAGACCACCATTAAATTTCAACCCCACAAATTGTAGTTCGTCTATTTATAGCAATTCCCTCTCTGTCTTTTTTCTCCCCTTTTGCGTGCCCATTTTTGTTGATTTTTAGGTCTAGAATGGACGAAGAGGGTTTGAATTAACATTTTCTGCCAGGTTTTGGTAAATATTCACGATTTTGGGGCGGAAGGATAACAGAGTTATCAGGTTGGTTACGGTGATATGTACGGCAACTAGTTACATGTTTTTAGTATTCTTTTTCAAGTTTTGTATATCAACCTCATACAAATTTTAGTGCAAAGACATGTCAATTTGTTCCTCTGTCTGTAATGAAAAGCATTCAGCCCAACGAAAATATTGGGAATAGTTGTAGGTGGGCAAAGAGGCCCGAATTAACTTTGAAGTCAATGGGGAAATTAATGGTGGTCTTCCTCCATTCACTGTTGGGAATTAACGCCCGTTTTCACATATTACAATGTATATGGTGGAATGGCAGATAAGCCAGATAAAACATATTTGAGTCAGTGAATTATTAATTCATTAATCTCCAGAAAATATGCAGTTGTTACAGCATAACGAATGATGTGGTGCACGAGACAAAGTCGGTTTACCTGATATCATTTTCATTTGGGAAACAACAATTTTCCTTGCAATGTTGCATATATTCTTCTATTCCATCCCAACGTTATCTGTTTTTCTATCTAAACGTTAACCCCAAATACCAATGCCATATAATTTGTTTATCATGAAATTAAATTCTATTCGTCAATAAATGTCACTTATATTTGCATGGACGCACATATTGACCAACGGTTGTTGACAAATTGCTAATTGCATCTGACATAAACGGAATACAAATATCTTTTCAAAATCGAAATAACATCAGATTCATTTTCATCAATGGCGGCCTGGTTCGTCTGGAGGCGATGAGTAACCTTCTGTATTAGAGAATCTTCAAGGGTTTATCATAAACTGGTGGATTACCACTTCAGATGTCATTTACAGACATTCATTCAAATTGATCGGCAGTAAACTCAAGTCACAATAACCTTAGGCAACCCGACCGCCTTTCTTCATGATCATCAATATCCATACCTTTTCATATCCAACTATAAAACTTATTGCATTTCCCAGTGGATAACTAGAATTGGTAATGGGGCTTGATTTATCTAAAAAAAATACGGTTGTCTAGGAAAAATGACTTCCACTTTATCTAAGATTCTTCTACAAGATTCAATTATAATATTATTATATTGGGCTATATACAGATAAAAAAATATTCTCATATGGGCTACATTCAGTTATAAGATATACAGATAAAAAAATACTATTCTCATTTCAATTGATTATTATTTAAAAAGAAACTACTCTTGACTTTGTTAGTTTAGGTACAAACAAATACTACACAATGAATTAAACCGGCGGAAAAAGGAGACATTTATGGCAATTTGTTTTATAATCTTTATTTATATTTCTTCAATTCCCCATGGATCCAGGGGGGAATGAAAAGAAATGTATTTAAAGTTTAATTTGAAAGTTTTCGTACAATGCAAATTCACTGAAAGTAGTGAAAGTATAAAGTTTATACATCGACGAGAACGCAATAGGCTTTGATATTATATATTAAATAATAACGTAAAAACGAATTATTACAAGACACCGACCTCTGTCCAGAAACAGATAGTTTGACTGCCAATATATAACCAATATATATCTTCATAAAAACCGACATTTTTTAAAAACTGTTTTTTTTTAAAACATTAAATGTTTAAAAACATTTAATGTTTTAAAAAAAAACAAGTTTTTTAACAGTAAAATGTATTGATTTTATTTTACATCTAAAAATCCTCATGCGGGTTGATTTTTCAAGGTTAAGGTGAAAAAATAATTTCCGTTTTGACGCGAATTATCTATGCATTTATCCGTCTTCCTTAGGACAGTCGGTACAGAAAAGTAGGACGTTAAACCCCATTTCATTTCCGTACATTTACTGATATAGTACAAATTAGTGTGCATATAAAATTTGAGATTAATCTGCAATGCCTCGGTTTTTAGCTCTCCACTTTAGTTTTTAACGAACTAAAAATGCCTTACCCTGAATATAAAATTGTTTTGAATAAGATATTATTCCAAAAGAATGAGATTTATTTTCTTGGCGAGTTTGTACAAACTATAGTTTTCACTTTTGAAAAGATAAAAGTCCTATTTACAAATATGCAACCTGAATAACATCATGATATCAAGGCACGCATCAGGAATTTGGTTGTAAATGAGTCGTCAAAGAAATTTAAAGAAATTAGTTATTAATGAATATATGTTTCACTTATAAAGAAAGTAAAACCCCAACTACATATATAAATCATATTGTACAACAACTGGCGAACACCATCCAAAAAAAAAGGGGGAGAAAAGAAAAAAAAGAAAGAAACCAACATAAAACTAATTTGACAATAAAGATAGTCAATAAAAGGATAATGTTTAAATATAGTAAGTATAAATGTCTACCAGTTATTGATTACAAACATCTTTAAAGTATGTAAAGATAATAATATTTGCACGCGTTCCTACTCTCAACAAATATTTACCTTAGAGTTTCCTATATCCTCTTCTACACTGCTTAGACTAGCCGCGTTAATGTTCCTGAAAATTTGCAGGAATAATTCTCAATGACCCACGCATCAACCGGTGCTTCTTTAAATGATTTGTTGATTTAAATTCCAAAACTGTCAAGATTCATGAGAGCAGACGATTTTCCGATTGTGTTTAAAACGAGGAGCATGCATCTCTATCATTGTTGATGTTAGTCGTGTGTCTGCTGTAAATTCAAGTTGGCGGTAAAACCAGCGATTATTTTAATCGATCTGCTGGTGTTGTTGGTAGCCAGTAACGATGTTCTTCCAGTCTCTTCTCCTGTTGCTTAATTCACAATCATCATCGCACACTGATAGCGTAAAAAGGGCACGCTGAAGATTACTGCAGTTAGTAAAGCCACATCCATAAACCCACTATTGCAACTGCATGTTCGAACCCGACGCTGGTATAGATTTCTCTGCAATCTAGCAGACATAGACAACACTTATTGGCCAAAAATAATTGTTTCTCACCAAAACGTCATTTAAAGCTCAGATACTCTTTTCGATAATAATGCCCCGTGTTTATGTAGACACAGGATCTATATATATATCTTTGTATTAATCACGAACAGTTCCAAGCATTCTGTACTTGAATAAATGACCCTAAATTATTTTGATTCTTGTAAAATGTGTAAAAAAAACCCCAACAATTGTTTCTGATTGCATGGAATGACCATGGATATTTGCATGATCATAGCAAAAAGCAGCAGTTAACAATTCAAAATCTCACCCCACAGTCCATATATCAATCAATCACAGACAAAATGTCTCCAACTTTTCTCTAAGGAAATTTAAATACATTGGGTGACGAAGTCTTACGTCTCAGAGTAGCAACGGTACACAGCCAGTCTAACGATTGTACAATGATTCCACGTCAATTCTGATTGATATTCCATTAGACTACTACTTAGTTTATATGAATTGGCTGGAATTTAGCAGAAGACACTCGTAAAGGTTACTTCGTTCTAAATTAAGTCGACGTAATCCCCTTTCGATCTTTACAAAAACGGTTGTTACAAAATTTCACTATTTTCAATCAGAGAAAAGATCAATTATAATTACTCTTGATGTCACATTGGATCAGGTCGGCCAATTTCCTACGGATTATTTAACACGAACTGGAAACCCCCCAGCTCATTCTTGCGTAACATTGGTATATAATCTGCTCTAGAAAGAAGTTTCATGTGTTTAATTTTTTTTCTTTGGTTTAAGCACTTTGACAATGGATCTTTTATGCCAAATTACACGCCTAGCCGAAACGTCGCTTAATGATAATATACAGTATAAGTGTTCCATAAAGTTATGTTCTGTATATTCAATAGACTAAACTTGCACTTCGTGTCTGGTGCAGGGTCTAGAAGATCCGACATTGTATGCCAACTGCAGTATTGTAATTGTGAATCTACAATGTATGAAACAAAAAATACACCCTTCGCCGTCATTCTCTTCTCTACGTCATTAGCCCGGATGGTGAAGAAAAGTTGGACGGTTAAATCCCATTTCACTTCATTTCGTCACCCTTTTTCACCTTCTACTCGTTCTTCTATATATCGTAGCAGATCGAATCTCAAAATGACCCAAGTATTCTGTTGGGAATACGTTAACCCCCATCCATCTCTTTTCTACTAACTCAGTATGATAAATGTACGGCGGTTAACCAATGATGCAGTGTAAAAGTATCCAATGGTTTTTATAGCTGGTCAGGGAAATTTTAACCAAGAAAATATCCATTTATCTTTTAGACAAACGTTAAATTAATATGGCGTTGGAGTGTGAGCGGAAATATTTCTAAAATCCAATATTTTAAATGAAACGGTTTCATGTTGAAGTCTTGTATTTTATGGCTAAAAGAGTAGAACTCTACAGGGATTAGAATCTAGTTAGCCTCACATAACTTCACATCGGATCATCACGGCATTTTATCAATTTATTTATTTCTAAATCTTTTGATCGTCCACTTCTCCAATGATTTACCGCATTTCATATTTTAAGCCAGGAAGAACAACGTTTCATTGAAGTGAAAACAAGTTAAAATGCTTTCTTATTAGGAATACATGTACTTTTGTGCTTTAACTTCCTTAAACATGTCACATTATATTTTTTACCTTAGAAGTATAACAGAAATATTGAAAAAATAGGTGCTAGGTCTTCCATATGCAAATAAGAAATAACACCCTATACATAACCTACCCCATGACCGATACTCATCACTATCTATAGCGACGGCGTGGACTTAAATTTAAGAAATGGGGCTCCTTCTTTTATTACATGCTGTTGTTACATTTTGAGGACGCTTTCTTTTATTCGAACTAGTAAAGATATACTCTCGTATCAAAGTTTGTCGCGTATTTCGTTATCATTTCTAAAGCCAATCCGAAATTTAGAAAACCCCGTTATCTCTTTGTCATTAAAGTTTTGAGCGATTAACATTTATACTCATATCGATAACTAGATCGGAGAAAAATGTCAATAGCTTTATCTGATTATAGTATATTTTTTTTTATTAAAATATCAGTTATAGCTTATGATAAGTGGACATGATAAATCTACAAGAAACCAGTAAAAGAAAGCACAGAAAGAAACATTTTAAAAGAGGTTTAAGTATTTTTCTGTTGATATCAAAATATCGATTATTAAGTGCAAACCCAACAATACTACGGTTGTTATTTTTCAAGATTTCAACCAAGAAATGTTAACGCACATATAAATGCCGTTTCTTATATACAGATACCTGGACATGGACAATGAGTGGCTCTACAAGTTAATGGCTGTAATTTTCCACCAGATCTCACCAGTTCCACTGTAATCGACGCTGGTTTCAACACGGCTTTATTGAACATACTCATGCATTTGTATTTCTTTTGGGAGGAGTTCGAGATTATATATATATTATATACTCTCCCAAAAAATTAGGGGATATTGAAATGCAAAAATCTAACAGAAACACTGAGCTGCACATGCGACACGCAAAAGTACCATACACGTGGGAGGGGTTCATTGTCAAATTTGATACTTCAAGGAGGGGTTGATGAAAACTGCCGCATGCTGGTTTATCTATCCATGTTTGCTTTCCTATCGGTTCTTGCATAAGATTTACTGTTTAGCGTATCTTTGCTTTAGTGTGTCACGTTTAATTTGATCGGGAGACGTGTTCGTCGACGTCAACGGAAAACACTGCAAGAGCAGTTGGCCAGATTGCCCCAAATCGTGATTGGACGGCTGATTAGGAGCATGCCACGACGATTTGCTGAATGTCTGAGGATTGGTGGAGCAATTACTCATTATTAAGACAAAAATCAAAAACGTCCATTTTCACTTTTGACGGTGCATCTCTTTGCGAGTGAAATGGGGCCGTCAGATAAGCCGCCCATATGAACTGTCTATGATCATGTGTAGGCAACTGGCCCGTTATTAACATACACTGGTTACCTCTAATAAAAACAGCAGTGCATTTCCGCAGTTTTGTATTGTTTCTGAATATACCCTACTTTTTTTTGAAGAGTATATATAAAAACAAACAAATTTGAAATAATTTTTAGAAATCCCAAATATGACTAGATCAGGAAGTGGTGATTTCTTTTCAGTGGCGTTCGACATATTTTGTTTGGCGTTTCGCATACTTTCACATCGTAAAAAATGCATTTGTGAGAAAAAGAAGCTATAAATATGACTAAAACACCAATTGATGTCGATTCACGAGTCAGATAACAATGGAACCATAATGACAAATTCTTGTACAAAGAAGCAACTGAAGTAGCTACTAGTTGCTGTATGACCCGGAGTCCAACCATCGATTACCAGGGACTCATCACACAGTCTCCAACAGAACATGTGAAAGGTTAATTTCCGCTTCATTTAAAGATGTGCCAAAAATTAAAATTTCATTTGTTTTCTTATCCAGATGTGAACAAGCCAGTCCCCCGTGTTAATTGTCAATTAGTTCTAAAGTGGAAATGTTAATTGTGCTTTTTAAAATGATGAATCACCAGCATTAGGAATCGTCATACTGTTTTCTAGGATAAGAGACTATTTGACAGTCCGCCACATGGTGATAAACTTGACTAATATTTGATTGAATTATGAAGCTAATGAGAAAATTATTCCAGTAACTTACATTTATGCAGTAGGGTGTGGTTTAATCAGATAGTGTACACGTCTACACAAAATATTAACAAATAACTACTGTTATTTTAATGATGACAATTACGTCGATGAAACCTACAAATAATGATACATAATATGATATCTGACAATGATAATTGGTAATGATAATGATGCTGATTAGTTGACCTACCATGTTGGAAATCAGTATATATGTATACCTGTTAGCATGATAACATCGTTGCTGGACTACTCACATGTTGTTCTTGTTGATTCGACATAGAACTAAGCATACTTCTTCCTTAGACAATTGTGCATCGATTGTCGGATAAGAGGTCACAATTTCAAGATTGATGGGGTGACGTAACGCCCAGTTCCCTGTCCATAGTACACCCGTACTTGTTATGTTATAACAGCTTCAGTATCTCTATGATTTTATAGGCATTAATGATGATGATGATGATGATGAAGATGACGCTGACGCTAATAAATACCTAGTTGTTTATTGTTAACATTTTGCTGTAAAAGCTTCAATATTCTGATGATGTTATTGGCGTTAATAAACATAACTAATGAACTTACTTCAAGGATAATGACACCATTAAGAATGTTTTCATGCTACAAACCAGAGGTGGGCGAACAGTTACGGGGTAATATCATTATATACCTGCTACATCAGTCTGTGTTATTATCTACATTCGATAATTGAATATATTTTGTCCATATTTGGCACGGTACCAAGTCATCTCTAGGGTATAAAATGAACTCTTCATGGCCATTTGTTTATTAGATGGAAGCTTTAATTAACCGTTAGTATGTATGGTAAAATTTATTAAATAACTATTCAGTGCAATTAATCAACGGTATGGGTGGCGTAAAATTCATCCCAATAAGTAGGCCTATATATTCAATGTAAATAATTACAATCTGGTGTTAACATCGAACAAACAGACTACGAATATATATTTTTGATAATTATATTGTCTATTGGGGATGATAGAAGGGGAGACAGGATCTGTTTTATCATTAATACAAGACGGAAAACTCAGAGAGGTGCCTCCTGAG